CTGCACATCAAAAACCAGTGTTAATCTTTTTTATTATATTCAAATGTTTAAACATTTAGCTCCAATTTCAAAGTGTGATACTTACTTTCTCAGATATCACACTTATATTCTCATTTTAAATACTGTCACAGTCTTTTTTCACTTACAATAACAGTAATCAGCGGTGCTAACAGCTGCTATAATCTGCAATTTCCTGTTTAATTCATATGCATTCTCGTGTTCTCCAGAGAGGCTGTGCAGAGTTCAGGGCGGAACACATTATATTCCATACAAAGTCACTGTCAGAATACAAGTGCTACAAATCAGGCTTTTTAAATGTACTGAGATATTTCTGTTCAGTGGCGCACCTGTTAGCTTCCAGCTACACTCTCCGTAAGGTGTTAGCTTTGATTTTCAGTCGGCACGAGATTAGGACTAAGATAAACAGTACTGAGACGACACAATCAGATTCATCTTTGTCCGTGGTGGGTGAAAAAAAAAAGTACGAGTCATCTTCAGTCTCAGTGGCTGAATATGCCCAATCAAACGGAAGAGAGAATCCACTGAAGGCGCTTCCTCAGATCTGATGAGCAGATACATGTCTGTGGACCAGGAGGCTCTAATTGCTCTGTGAGATCCTTTTCTACCGTACAAAGTCCTCCTTGTCAACTTCTATTCAAAGTGTCTCCATTCAGCAGCACAGATAGCCTCTGAATAAAACATGGGAGCATTAGGCTTGACTTTGGATGGCACGGAGCACCAACTGATGAGAGATGACAAAGATGGCCACAGCCTGAACAATGGCAGGAGCCAGATTTGGAAATAATTATATTAAAGGAATAGGGAGAGTCCAAGTGGAAGGCAGATGTAGATGGGAGATAGAAGCCGGAGTGCATCAGCTGTTAACTTGATTTTTCATTCAACGCCCAGACCGAGGAGAGTTGACGCGCCGTCCTGTCACCATGCCAACCAAGTGTGGCTTTTTTGTGCATAAAAAATGTTTTGATATAGGTGGACAAGACATGAAGAAGCACCGAGCCTTAGCCTGATCCTCCTCCTGTGCTCAGGGAAAGATATAATGAATGATGGTTTCTGCTATTGCTGTATGAATTTTCACAAACTACAAAATCCATGTATTGAAAAGACACAATTCTTTATACATGTTCTTATGATTTAATTAATTTAACTCTTCTACGTCCCCTTTTCTTTCTTCTCCTTCTTCACTAATCTCTTCCTTCAAAGCCCACCTCAGTGGATCATCTGTCTTCGTGACACCCAGTGTCTTGCCTCTTCTCTGGTACCTGTTCCATTCCTCCTTCCTGATACCTCCAAATGTCAAAAACGCCTCAACTTCAATCAGAGAAAATATGATTTTCGTTTATCTCCCAGCTGCCCGACCATACAGCTCCTCTGATCTGCTCCTTTCTAATCCTGTCCATCCTGGTCACTCCGAACCAAACCAGTACCTTTGACTCTGCCATTATCACTCCTGGTGCTGTTCTTCCTTTACACTCCATCACTCCTCTTCCTCATTGCCCCTACACCCTCCCCACACCTCTTTAATGCACTGTGCAAACTTGAAATAATTCCACAATCTGCCTTCACTACATCGACTGCATGCACCTGTGAAGGTGAAAATGAAAACTCTACCATTCCATCTTCATCTTCAAATAACCAGTTAATAAGACCACATACATCATATATTGGCAGTTAATACACAGTGAAATATGACTGTCGGGGGCCACGGGGTGGGGAGGGGGGCTGTATGTTGTAGATAATGTTCTATATACAGGAGGAACCTCGCAGGGAATTCACAGAAGGAACATTGGAAAATTCATGAGCTCAGCGTCCCGTCACACCAGTGCTCTCAGCAGGCACTAAACATCGCTGATTGTTTCCAAGGTCTTTGGCCAAAATGGAAAAGGCCACTCATTTATAACACCACCAGAATTAAAGTATGACAGCACTGAAAGGTGGTGAAGACAAAAATACTGTAAAAATAAAAGGACCGTTTGTTTTACATAGGTACAAAATCCTAGATCAGTTCTCTGATGAAGAAATAATTACTCCAGCTCAGCAGATGTAAATTTGATTAAAAAATTATGCACCTAATGACAACAATCAGTGATGTAAACGGAGAGAGTAAATGAAGCACATTTACCTTTGCATGCTAGTCCATAATTTGCAATGATGAAGTTATGAGCTTTAATGAGCCTGTAAAAGTTAACGACAGCAAGGTGTTTGGATTTGCTGCTGCATTATACGCATTTGCACAGCGCTCTAATTGAAAGTGAATAATGCAGTCATTTCTGCACCGCGCTGTAACAATAAAGGCAGGCAGCATCTGTGAGGCCTTCATGTTGTCAAACAAATTAGAGGCAGCCTCGTGCTAACGGAGCACCGGCGATATGGCCGTTATAAAAGCTCCTGCATAATAAGGCAGATGAGGAATTGTGTGCCTTCGTAACTGAGTTTGAGGCAGCGACTGTGATTAATGGGCTAAAGCTCAGCTCGAGCTGTGCACGTGTGGAAGCACGGCGGGTAACGCAAACACTCGGCGTATGCAGAACCTCACACCTTACGACAACAAAATGGTTGAATTGTTTAGAGTTATTCTTGTTTTCTGACAAAAACAGTTTCACCACTCTGTCTGGGACTACACCGATACCAATACAGTTACTGACATGTATTTATATATATATATTTGTATTAATATTTTATGTATCTAGAGTGACAGTAGTGTCATTTCGAAGACTTGTTTTAATACAAATGTATTAGTTCTCTTTCAGAGTGAAATGAACTTCTGTTTATAAGACACAAAAGAATGCTAATTGAAGCGGTTTATGAAAAATGGAAGCCCGTCAACCCCTAATTATCAGCCTGTGTTTTTGTATTAGCTTATTCTACATACAGTATTAGCATTGATCTAGTGGTACATTTATTCTGCATATTATTGACCTTATTTAATCAACAACTGGCCAAGAACTGTGCCATCTCCAGAAAAAGACCTGGGTATTAATAGATTAGGACTAGACTAGAATAACAAACCCACTAGATTCAAATATTGATAAAACACAAAAGAGAAAACAGCCTTTTTCACATTAGCTCTTTTGGATTTAGGTTTAAATAGATCTGGTACAGAGCTAAGATGCAACACGCTACAAATATACGGAATGTTTATCATGACCTGAGGGGCAGGTTTAATTGCAAATACCTCCAGAGCTGTGACTTCGAATGTGAAATTAAACACATGTTTAGTAGTCACAGGCTGCTTGAATACTTTTTTTTGTTCATTGACTTTAGCACACCTGTTATTAGTCAATCAGATGTACTATCTGATGCGTGTGTGTTCCACTCCTATTCAATCAAACACAGTATGGTTGCAATAACCACTAGTAGCCCAGCTTTTACTCTAAGATAATATGAAAAAAGTAGTAGTTTGAAACTCAAGAGACCAACAATGTAAGGTTGCTGAGTTTTGGGGGCTGCCAGATGGCAGCTGGCGGTAACATATTGCAGGGCTCGGCATGAACGCACAAGAAAAGGAATCAGTTTGTCAGAAATGCTATGTGTACAAAATATATGCCTGGGCAAATTAATGTTTTCTCAGCACAAACTGCTTGGGGTTTTACACGTGTTTATTGATTCTACTGCATACAATATCAAACATAAAGACGGACGTTAATGACACAGGGCTCAAAAATGAATGATTACATTTAACTAAATTTAACTCTTGTCTTTTTATTTACCATTTAATAAATTAAATTACATAAGAAGCAGTAGGATGTTATTAGTGTAACCGTTCTGCCTTGGGATAATTTGTGGAAAAAGTTAATTTTATTATTTGGCTACAATTCAGCTACTGTGGGCTAGTTTTCATTTTTCTGGCTCTTATTATGTTAATCCCTTTTCACGGCTTAGTTAACTTATATTTATAATTACTTAGTAAAACTTGCCCAGCTGTTTTTTTATATGTGACGAATGTATTCCTGGGTTTTTCTTTTTCATTTTTAATTTGTAAATCTATTTATTTTACTCCTTTTAACTAATTCAAGGCTAACATTGTGCTATAGGTGGTTCATTTCACACACATTGTTTGGGCTGAAATACGTTTTGCTAGTATTATTTCAATGTCGGACTTAAATTGGACTTGAATCAAAGAAGGAATGCTTCTTAAACTGGGTGATTTGGTTTGAATTGAAATGTACATAAAACAGACTGACAACAATAGCACAGCTAGGAACATATGCAGTAGATGGAACTTATTTGCACTTTCATGAACTTCCATATAGTGGAACACAATCTTGATCTGAATACCTAGTATGGATTTACTGTAAGGAATCTGATTGATGCAGTGTCAATAGAGCTGTATTTTTTTTTTTTTTTTTTTTTTTACATCCACACCCTTCTCTTTGTTTCACTTCCATCTTGTGTATGGGTGCCATAATACATCAAAAATGGATATTGGCAAAACTTTAAAGACAAAAAAATGGAAGAAAATCCTCTTGGGTCTATTTACTCAACGCACTGCACATAATAATTCAAGCGCTCCTTAGCAGAAGAGCTGTCATATGTTCCATCAAGCCCTCAACAGAAGCACCCTGAGAGGTGCAGATCCATGAATAAATCATACAGCAGCCCCCCCCCCCCTTTACTACCAACACTCCATTAAGAGGAAACAGCGTTTGTCTAATAACGCAGAGTGAAGGTATTTTAATGTGTGTTTCAGTTGACGGTGGGCGTGCACGCTCGACACTGACCTGGCGAGGGCCCGTAAATGTGCACTAAAGTGTCAGAGGTGTGGGATGAGCTGGAGGACATGATGAATGCTGGTGAATGGATAAAAGTAAAAGAAATCCCTACATTGGTGGAATAACGATCATAAAAGTCACTGCATCGCTGATATTCCACTAACCTACAGTTAAAGTGTTAATATACTGTACGGTTGAAGCCAACACACTGCTAATAGCCTTTAAGAGTGTGGCACGCTAATGCTGTATTTTAACGTCCTCCATCATTGGGGTCATTTTCTCATCTTGCTTAGCTCTTTAATTATTTATTGGTAAATTTAGCATGACTATAGGTCTCTCTTGAGGACAAATTATCCCCTCAGTTGGGAATCAGACCACAGACTATAATAGGTTTGGTATTCATCAACACTCATGCCAATGGCTATTACCAAGATAATTACTCCCAGGCCTAAAACACCCGCACCACAAAACAAACAGGGCAAATATTCAACACGCTAACGCTCGTTGTTTGATCAAAGTAACCCCAGTGTGCCCACTGGTTTCAGCTCATGCTGTGACAAAAGAAGATTTTTTTTTCTCCCCAACAAGGGGAGAAATGATTAGCTTGTTACACAGTGACGTGCTCGCATCGTCATTTTGTACAAATGCCTCTGACAGGACGGCGATCTCCACTTTCAAGTATACAGTAATTTCTTATCCCCTCGAGCTACAGAAATGCTAATGTGCTGTTTGTGACCTATCGGTTTCCAGATACCATGTGCCAGCCCTTTATTACCAAAAAGGATGACAGCTTAATGAGCCCCTTGCTCAGTGTCGGGGACACAATGTGAAACCGTGCCTGCTGCCATATTGTGTGCACCCACTCCAGCATTACAGCAAACCACATAACCAATCATTAACTTGCTCGATCTTCCCACACGTGCGATGCTTTTCCCACCTGACTTCAGCTCTTTTGTTTAGCTGCAGCATGTTACTGTCAACGCTTCCTCGGCCTGGGAGACTTTAAGAGCTGCTTTGTTCCCCGGCAGACGTGGTCTGGAATTTGAACAAGGACATGGATTTGTGCATTTCTTTGTTGGTCACTTAAGGTTTCCCATTAACCAGAAGGTTAAAGCTAGTCAGCGATGGACTTGACACCGCTACGTAAAGATGCTTCACATCTCAACATGACGATTTCAGGCTCTGAAAGACCCGCATCTGGTATAAGATGATCACACTGTCAAACAAACTGTACAGCAATGTGAAAAGCGAGGAGCGACAGACATAAGATGCTACAGTGATAAGATCGCTGTGTTTGTGGTGTTGTAATAAAGACAGACAAACGACAGGATGGAATAGTCAGACTGGATTGTTTCTCTTCTGCTCCTTTTTTGTGTCTGTCTTTTGTCTACTGTACCAACTCTTAACATATTTGGTTCAATGCTCCTTATTGTAAATGTCACTGATGTGTGGATTGTTGAAGGAAGGATGAGTGTGAAACATGTCAGAGTCTCCTTTCTTTGGGAGGTGAAAAATCCCAGTCTGAATTGTAAACATATCTAACAGCGTAAAAATGTATGTTGTGTAAGGCAGGCATGATAACCGCTACACTATGGGACCTCATAGTAACCTCATGGGGAGTTTTGAGGCGCCTGGGTGGGCTCGAACCAGCAATCTCTTGGTTCACAGAACTGCATGGCATTGCATCCGGTGCAGATGAAGACATCACTTTACGGTGCCTGAAAATTTAACAGCGCCACAGTTTTAGCCCCCTAGTGATTTGTAACAAAACAGTGCGAACATATAATTCTGCAGGTCTTGGCTGATTGAACTGCTGGGAAACTACAGCAGCAAAATGGTCTGGGGTCTCCACTGTTCAACAACCTGCTGCGACCCTTTTCTTTAAGGTCCACCTTTGCCTAGCGGTGGGTCAGAGATTCAAAGAACCCAGTGGCCTTTCTGTTCATAAATACCCCAGTAACTGATGGACTGGAGAGAGGGAGGGAGAGAGAGAGAGAGAGGGAGAGGGAGAGAGAGAGAGAGAGAGAGACAGACCGTCCCCCTCGATCTGCACCCCTCACTGAGCCCTAAAAAGCCAGCACTGTCCTTAAGCAACATTCAGATCTTCTTCAGGTAGAGTGTAGGAGAGCACTGATACACCATATCTGCCCCCAGAGGCCGTGAGGTAATTGGCTACTTCACACAATCTGACGCTCATTTCCTCCACATGTACACGCTCGTGTACACACACTCCTCATCGTAACAGGTGCCAATTCTTCTGGTAAATTATTTTGTGTCCAGGTCCTCACTGATCATTTTTACTTCATTTGGACGAAAAGTCAAAACATCATGATTGAACTCAAACCTCATTTTAAAATCCATTCAGTGTTTGACTGTTTCTGTGGTTTTTACTATAACACATAGGACCTGATAGAACAAATCCATCTAAGGCTTTAAATAGTTATTTTGTTTATAGCAACCACCTTTATTGGAAGAAATATATATATATATATATATATAGTATATTAAATCATTAGCAGAATATTGCTTTAAACAGTTTACCTAGCTGAAATAACCAACAAGCTAACACGCAGGTACAATGTGAGTTAGATGAGCTACAATGATTGCTAAGGAAGTAGCTAACATACCTGTACAGCTAACCAAACCACTATACACTGCTAGTAGGTGAACTGGGTGAACTACTATTATCTAATTATACAGTTTACTGTGTATTTTATTTTCATTAACACTTTAATCATCTGAAATCGTCTGTTTTCATCATGAGATGAGGAGATAATATGAAAATGGAGGGAAACCGTGGTCTGGCGTCCTAATCTGATGTCAGTTGACGTGATTTTGAAGCGACTCACCGTGCCCGGCCTCCCTCTGCTCCAGCTCCTGCCGGAGCTGCTGCCGCTGCTCCTTCATCCTGGCCAGCTCCTGGCTGCTCCCTGAGCTGAGGCTGTGCAGCCTCTTGGCCAAAGACTCCAGGCGATCCCTCTCCTGGTGCACGGCCTTCATCTCAGCCTTCAGCTCCTTAGCACTGCTGAAGTCATTACCTGCACCACGCAAGGACATTAAAGTTAATGGGCGCCTCCATCATTAATTATGAGGCGATAGCAGTGGGTGAGTCGTGTAAATGAGGTAAATAAAAAACAAGGACTGCTCGGGGTGTGGATGAGTTTTTAACCGTACCGGAGATGGCGGCCAGTTTGGCCTCATGCAGCGCCAGAAGCTGTGTTTCGGTCTCACTCACTTTCCTGCGCAGGCTGCTGCCCAGCCTTTGACTCATGACCACCTGGGGGGAAAAGGCAGAAGAGGCTGAGGTGGGGGCTGAGGTGGGGGCTGGTAACTAACAAAACCTTTGCAGACACATGGATCCCACAGGATACATCGCTCATCCTCAATTCCGCTTTCATTTTCTTTCTGACGCTCATTCTTACAAGACCTTACAGATTCATTTCCATCCTTCTAGACTCTCCCTGCGTAGAATACAGAGCAGAGCATCAGCGTCAAAGTGCCGCCTTGTCTATAACCTTTAGAAAGAAGGTGCGTCCGTCCTCCTTTTCAGGGGACAGACGGAGAAACGTGAAATCTCCATTACAGATGCCATTAGAATGTCAGAGAGGGAAAAGGCCTTGAATGTCACAGGTCTGACAGGGATGTGGCTCATCATTTCTGCAGCTTCACAGAGGGGTTGATGGCTTCAGATACAGACTGCCTGCCCTCCATCTGCTCTCTGCCTGCCCTTTAAACCTCTGTTCTTTCTAATGTATTCACTTTGAGCTATGGCAGGATACAATCCCCACGATGAGTCTCCATCTTTCCAAGAACTGTATTCCCTCCTCTATGGGATGCCATGCAGTAATATCTGAGGCTTATTCTTGTTGAATATGACACAGGTTTTTTTGTGTGTGTGTGTGTGTGTAGCACTTGAAAATCTCTGTCATGTGAGATGATATTTCTGCAGTTAGATCATCTCCCGGGAGTTTTCTTCTGACAGAAATATAGAAAATACTTTTTTCAAACAACCTGGCATAATTTTATTTCACGTGTCACGTCGTCTCAAAGCCCGTCTCCGACCTCGAGTTTCTGCAGCTGCAGGATTTCTGACATTTGGTGATGCGTTTTTAATACACCTGGCTATTGTTCAATTGTTGTTCAATTCTGAAAAGTTGATGAAAGGAGAGAAAGTGCTTTGGAAACAGTTTGTGTTTCATGTTCCACCATAAGAAAAAAAAAAAAAGAAAACACATTCAACTTCAGATGAAGTTCAGACCTGGGATTAAAGCCTCTCTTATTTTTGGAAAGACTAAGTTAGCAGTCTACATTTATTAATTTATATTTAATAATTGATAACATCCATTACAGGCTCACTGGCCAGCAGTTGTGCATGTAATAGTTTTTCTCTTATTCCACCTTGTAGTGGATTGCCATGTTACCCCACAAGGGGGCAATGTCTACAATCGTTTAAATGTTAAATTGAAGTGCTGCATTTTTTTTTCTCAAAAATCATCTTTCTAATTATTTACCCTGAGAATTGATTTTCTTCAGAATTCTGTCACTGTTTTTAATTGTCATTTGAAAGTCAGTTATTTTGACACAAACATGTTTGTTTACTTACTGGCCAAAGAACTGGCCTGAAAAAAAAACAACAACTATATATTACAAACTCCTGAAAATATGCACGATAATTCAGCTGGTCTTATAATTATTGTGGTAAAAAAAAATCCCTATTGGTCAATTTGGTCACATGACAGTGTTTACTCTATTAGAATCAGCCAAACAAAAGAATGTGTCAAAAACAGTGACGTCTCAACAACGGCTACTGGATGTTCTTAAAGAGGATTAACAGTTTGTGAGGGTTACTAGATAAGGATAGATACTCTAGATGAGTATACGTTAATGATTTTCTGCACTGGAACATTTTTTCTGCTGCACTGTTAAAAACACACAGACTTTGGTTTTTAATGAAATCTCCTGTGTTTCTGAACTTCAGTCTGTGGGGATTTCACTGCCACGTTGTGCAGACATCAACTCATGCATACAAACTTTGACATTTAGTGTGCACTTCCAACACGCCGATGCAGGCACATAACACGTCCTGTCTATTTTGGCTGAGGATGAAATTAGATATTCGTGCTGGTTCAGTGGTTGTTTGTGTTGCCGCGGGGAGTCTAAATCTAAATCTAAATCTAAATCAAGCCACGTCAGAGACAAAGGCTTACTTTGGCAGTGGCTTCCTTGATGGACAGATTCAATGCTTGCTCTTGTTCCTGGAGCCTGTAAAATAAAGCGAATAAGTCACACTTTTTTATCTTCCAATCCAAAGAAAAAAACTGAAAAAAAATCTTAGAGATAATTTCTTTTGTCCACTGTTAAATCTACAACCCTGCAGAAAATAGACTGAGCAACAGATGATAAAATACATAGAGTGTGTCTAAAAAGACATCGAAGACAAATGTAAAGACAGACGAAGAAGACAAAGACAAGACCATCGAACAATTGAAATATCAGTATTTCACTCCCACAAAGACGACCTTTTGGTTTGTCTCACATACTTTTCACCTGCTGTCTGTTCGAATTAGAACCATTTGGACAGCAGTGACGGAGGAAAAACAAGAACCTTTCAGTGGAAATGTGTTGTGCTCAGCAGCTCATTAGACTGAACTGTGCATCAGAACACTTTGTTAATGCCGTGTGTAAACATGCAAACAGGACAAACCATTAAGGTCACGTGATTCATTAACAGAGACATAAATCAATTAGCAGATGAGGAGAAAAGAACATAAAATCGATTACGGCCGACACGGTCACCTTGAGACCGTCTCACTTGTCTCACATCGTCCAAACTGTTTGTCCTCTACAGATCATGTTAGTCGAGCTATTGCTGAGAGGAACCAGGGTTTGACACAAATGTTCTGGAAAAATGTGGGTTTCTTAAATCCAGAGAGCTGGAGGAAAAAAAGAAAACTTGCTATTTTTTGAAACAGCAACAGTGTTATCACAGTAAACTAAAGTCAGCCACCTGGAGATGTGCAGCTGAATATCCAATTTCAGGTCGGAATTTCAATCAGCAGCGAGAATGAATGCGTTTCAGTCGGGGTGAGAATATGTCAGATATCAAATTATGCCAGCGATGGCGGGTCACGCCACCGAGAAGGCGATAAGTACAATTTACGTCTCTTTCTAACGAGAGGCAGGATGGAAAGGGTTTTTGCACAGTGCTCCCTCACAAGCTATTAACTGCATAGGTTATGATGCAAAGTAATCTTCAGCATCTGAGGGAAAAAGGAAAGCGATTAAAATTCAGAGCAGGTTCAGGCAGGTGTGAGGAGAGAGGATGTGAGGGCACAGGAGAACATGAGGGAATAAAGAGAACGCAGCTGTAGCTTCTCAACACCAGCTCCATAATAAACACATTGTTCTTCATTAGAGTCTACAGATCGTGTCGCATTCAACCGAGAGAAACTTTTGTCCAAAAATACCTACAGTACTGTAAATGACAGTCATTAAAGTTACACAAGTGTGGGTGTGTGCGCAATCTAACTCCTATTTTAATATTAAAACAATAAAATTCAGTCTGCAAAGCTTCAAAAGTTGTATGTGGACATTTGGAATGCTAATTTGGTTGAAATATGACTCAATTATGATATCCTGACGCTGCGTTGGACAAAATTGTTAAAAGATGCCAAATTTAAAAAAGAAAAAAAAGCCACGGGTCTTGTGGTGAAATAAGATATCTCTATGATGTACCATCGTCCCAAATTTGCGAATTTAATCAGAAAACGTGTCTTAAAGCGTTCCTAGGATAAGCACTATCTATCTTACAGCTCTTTACTACCACCACGTGGCAACTATTGGCTCTACAGGGGCTGTGTAATGATCAATGGAGCAGATAAAGTGCACGAGCAGATAATATGGCAGGTATAGCTACAATTTAGATTAAAATTATCAGTATTAGCCAAAGGCTAACCAAACGTTAAACCAAACAACACCTGAAATAAAGTTCAATTAATAAACACAAAAACCTGATTTTTTTAATTCAGGGCTAAACTGACAAAAATTCAGCAAAAACAGATTTACAAAAGCATGCTTATGCTAATCAGATATCCTAAGGTTATAAAAAGCAACCAGATGCTCAGTAGGAAATATCTATAACAATGCACAATAATGCATAAATGCTTTAACTAGTAATACATATAAGCAGAAACACCTAAAAGATAAGTAATTATTAACCCTGCGAAAGCTTACAGTTAGCAAAAGGCTAACACTTAGCCAAAAGGATGAGTTAAATATTAGATAAAACTGTTGCCACAGAAACAATGTTAATGTCAATGATCTAAAATGCCTTAAAAAAAGGGGAGTTTCCCAGTCTGCTTCAAAGTCATGAGGAATGAATAAAAAGAAAATGTCAGGAGTCACATGTCCCTGAAACATGTCCACATACATTTGTTCCAGGGTTGGACCTTGAACATACCTGGAATATGAGATAAAAATGACTAACTAAAATCTCTTTAGGTGGAATTTATGGAGGGTGGAACCGACTCGTACATAAAAATTAATTCAGTTCTTTGGAACATACTGTAACTAGGGAGAATGTTTTACTGGGTGGCAACAGGGAGTTCACAGAGCAACTATCTCTGACCTAAACAATGGCCATACATCTGAGGTTGACTTTAACACTCATGTGATCCATAACATGAATAGTAATAATAATAATGTGTGAATAAAACAGTGGTCTGAAACGGTTCAGGCCTCTGACAGCCCGCTCAGATGTCAGCTCAGCACCGCAGCGATGCTCAGGTTCCACCAGAAAAATGTCCGACTCCCACCTGGGGTTAAACTGCAATGCAAATGTGTGAAACGCACATGTGTAAAGTGTGAATATGTTTCTTCAGAGAACACTCTGGGGTGCTGTTTGACATTTGCATTTTCCACCTTCATTTGCACTTTTCCTCAGCTGTGGAGAGCTGAACTGAAGCACACAGGGATAAAAGGGGGGTCACTAATATTTCCTGAGGGCTGTAATGAAGGCATTTTGGTATCTTTATACCATTTTGTTTCTACCTGGTTTAATACATAAACACAGACCTGAGAATGGACGGTGGCAAAGCCACAGAAATCTGCATTCGGTTCTCAGAAGTGACCAGGTCCCTCAGGCTCCGGCTCACGTCACAGAGCTGGGCCACGTTGCAGCTCTTCAGCACGGAGCCTTCCAGCTCCTTAGCCTCCACCTGCTGCTCCTGCTGCTGGATCTGCTGCTCCAGACACCGACTGCGGTCCTTCAGCTCTGCCAACCTGCGCTGCAGCTCGGTCATCTCCTCCTGCGTGGGTTTTAACAGTCAGCTGTAAACCAGACTTGACATTCTGTGTACTGTATATCCAAACACCAGTTGTTTTGATACGATCTCGTCACAAATCATCAGGTGAAATCACCTCCACCCTGCGTTTCTCCTGGACCAGCAGATCCCTCTGATGTAACGGACCCTGCAGTGACTCCGATCGCTCCCCTCCATCAGCGCCGGCGCCCTCTCTGCCAGACAACAATAATTCACAGTCAGTGGTTGTTTTTATCATCCATATTATTTACAATTTTAATGCAGTTTTTTTTGTCTAACTCAGCATTACACCTTAGTCATTTTTGTGTCCATTTGTTTAGGTATTTCAGATGAAAGTACACAGGTGTTTACTCTGGATTACTTTAGTTTAGGAAGCAGGGGGGGTCTCTGCTGAGACCCCGTCTGATTTCCTTCCTGTTTCAACAGCTATTTTAGCCACAGCTCAATCACAGCTCTGTAAAGAACAACAACACTGAAAGGGAAGGGAAAGAATACTAACCTCAATGTTTGTCAAATGTGGTGTTTATTTCTGCCTACATGTTGACAATAACATATATTCATAGTTAGTCTCTTTTCCCAGATTAGAGGCTTTAGATCAGAGGTGCGCTGGCGACTCCTACCGTATCTACAGAGGTACTGCAGGCCGTCATTAAGACTTTAATTTAATCTTATTTATTTATTAATTGCCAGTGAAGTCTTAGTTAACAAAATAGTCCTGTTTCAGCACTCCTGTAATTTTTTGTTTTGAAAACTGTTTTTGTAAGTGATACAATAAAGAATTTGAACATTTTTCAAAATAAAACACCATCTGTACTTATAATCAGTAGAATTTAAAAAATTTTCCCCCACTTTCCCAGTTGTTAAATACCTGTATTAATATATAGAATGAATATTTGCAGCGTTAGTTTACCAACCTGCGTTGACCATATTCTGCCCTCTGGAGGGCGCTGTTCACCACCTGTCTCAGCCGCTCCAGGAACAGAGCCACGCAGGGCTGCAGGGAGGGTAAACCCAGCTGCAGATCCCCTCTCTCCTTATTCAACTCCTCCAGCTTCTTTCCAAAACGTTCAGCTTAAATATAAAAAAATTAAAAAGTTAAATTGAGCAGTAGTATATATGTAGCAGTTGCATATGTATATGTACAATCCCGTACTGAACAGTACAATCGTACAGTACATTAGACAAAAACAAATCATCCGTGCCACTGCAGTTCAAATCAAATGTCACGTTTTCTGCTTCTATGTTAATATCGTCATCATGTAATGAATCAAACAAATGTCATTTTACAGTGACCTGAATAATCAGAGTGCAGGAACAGTTCAAGGTCTGAACGGCAGGAATCAGCAGATGCTGGTTCTATTTCTGTCACAGGCCAAGAAATGGGTCAGATTAAAGTCTGGTTTAAGGAGAATGGTCCAAAGAAATGGAACATGTTGCTTTTCATGTTAACTCACTTTTCTCTGTGATGTAGTTAATCTGAATTAGGTCAGATTACAGTTATTTAATTAGAGGAGTTGCTGTGAGTGGTCAAAGATCAACCAATGATCACAAGCTCAAGGACTTCTAATATCAACTTGTTTTTTGATTTAGTTGGTTTGACTCCTTTGACTACTTTGCTGATTGATCTGAAATTGCACTTTGAAGATCAGACTTTTTTTAATGTTAGTCTGTTGTTGTTGACAGACACTATACACACAGTGGACCACAGAAACATTTAGTGTTTATTCTCCCTAAGATAAGATCAGATAAGAAGGTTTTTATGTCAGTAAACAATCAAGTAATTCTCCCGTTTAATACATCAGCCCCAGGAGCTCTCATGATTTACCCCAGAACTTTGGTATGATCTAAATCTGTAAGGTATCAAGAAGAATAACACCACTTTAGTCAAACTGTTAATTTTCCATATCGGTCTCATTTGAAACACACAGTTCAGTTGCAGTAAAGCCCTCCGCTGGCTTGTCCGCAGCTTTATTATCTCATCATCCGATTGATGACCTGCTTATTAAACCAAAGGCTCAGTGGAGTGTGGTGGTTCACCTGCGTCATAGTCATCGTCCAAAATGGACTTCTGCTGGAGTCTCTGCAGCTTCAACATCATGGACTCGATCTGAAAAAAAAAAAAGAGAAAACAGAATTTTAGCTGTGCAAAGATGAAATAACCCAAAAACAGCAAACACTACTACCACTACCTGTAAAAACTATGAAGAAGAAGATCATTGTTCCTCAATTAAAGATGAATTTATTGTAAAATACATAGAAAAAAAAGATCCGGGGAAAAACAATTCAAAAGTCCCCATTTCCTCCACTCACCTTTGTGTGTGTGCGATTGTTTTGGAGACAGTCCTGCAGCACCACATCGTACTTCCTCACCAGGATCTCCCAGCAGTGGTCGGAGGCAGGTGTCGCACTCTCGTACCCCGAGGTGACTGAGGAGGCCGACGCCGTGTCCGAGTCCACGGACAACGATGATGTGATCTCCGAGTCACAGTCCGGCTGATTGGTTGTAGCCTCTCTGCCGTCCCAGGGACATTCACGCCAAAATCTCACACCTAAAGATAGCTCCTCTCTCTCTGATTGGCCGACAGAGGAGGACAGTGACTGGACCGGAGCGGAGTTTGTGGACACATCAGTGTAAACAGTCTCTGGTTTTGGTTGAGACCCAGTCGGTGCACTAGTGTGGTTAATAAGTGGTTCTGGGTTTGAGGCCCTCACAGCAGTGGTTGTGTTTGTCCTAGAGTTCAGTGACTGTTGGATAAAACTGAAGCTGGAGCTGAACGAGTCCAGCGGTGGAGGCAGCGAGGACGCACTGGTTTTCCTGCAGTCTGTGTTGGACAGAGGAGGGGTCACCAGGCAGACGGCGCTCTGACTGGTCCTAGTGCTACATGTGAGTTTACCAGTGGGTGACTGACTTTTGAAGGACACAACAGCAGGTGTTGGACACGTCCTGTGAGTGCAGGTGGCTTCAATGAGGTCATATGGACATCCAGTCTTCCCATTGCTCATGCAAAGTGTCCTTCCTTCATCTTCCTCCTCCTCCTCCTCCTCTTCTTCTCCCCACCCATTCTGAGGAGACTGTAGTCTGGACTGCTCTCCTCTCATGTACCCTGGTCTTCGGTGGAGCCTCTTACGTCCAGAGCTGGCAGCTGCCGTTGACGCTCTGCCACCTGTCAATGCAGAGATTAATCATTAAGCTGTAAAACACCGTGTCATGTGAAGGACAAACAGAGAGCTCACACTGCTGTACACACACAATGTCCAGATATAAATGTGATAATTAATATAATCACATACATTTATAATAACCCTGAGGTGATGCAACCAACTATACACACGTTCAACTCAGTCTCTGCTGTCAAGGCTAGCACCCTGATGCTAAATGAATGAAAACACTGGAGCAGCTGTGTGACATTTCCCAGGGTTCATCTCCAGCTGTTGGGAAATACCAGCGCCACACAGTCACTGTGACTTTAGACTTAGTTCTCAGACCAATGTATTGAGAATAATGTAGTACAAATATTTCACTAATACGCAGTAGCAGTCAAAGCAGAAGTCAAAGAGAGACAGATTTTAATTCTCATCCCTTCAAGTATTGGCCCTTGTTTTCAGGCCACTGACATGGTAGTGCCAGCGGTTCACAAAATATGGTAGTCTTAGCAATGGTGGTACCTGTGTAGTTTGTTTGTTTTTTGTTGTTGTTTTGCACCAAAGCCAAATCAAGGATGTACAAACGATAAAGGGTAGTAAACACCGCAATCATGGCTCTAAATGTCAACTCTCAAAAATACTAGGTGGAAATCATGGACGTTAGTATTTCAATGTCCATCATACCGGTAGAATTTGGAGAGACAAATATAATTTCTGTGGTATTACACGTTGTAACCCACTGATGTAAACAGGGACTGAGAATAAAACATGGGTTTTCTTGTTCTCACAAACAGAACTTAGGGTAGTGAAGGGTTTGAGCTGTGACCTGTTATTACATCATGGTATAAAGGAAAGGACAATGTTCTTAGGACGTTTCTAGAACTTGACTCCTTCATAACAAGCAGTCAGTTATTCTGTCCTTAAACACAGAAATCCCCAAACATATACTATCTAAACAAAGAAAATCATCCTTCATCTAGATGTTACTGTTTGGTCCTGACCGTAGTCTCGCACTAAATCTGTGGAATGAACTGAAGACCAGGCTCATGAAGTCAACAATCCTCGTAGCAGGTGGGGCAGAGGGACGATAGGGACGGGTTTGTGTCCAGAGCTGGACACCTGCTGCACATGACTAGTACATATAATGTGTAGGATTCAGAAAAGGGAGAATGGCTGAAAGACTGGGGAATGAACAGTGTCTTTGTGTAGAAGTGAGCTGCTCTCTCTTCTCCCCTCTCTCTCTCTCCCCCCTCAGTTTGCTCTTCCCACTCTCTCTCTCTCTCTCTCTGCCTCACCCACACACCACCAAACACACATTGCTCTATAGTTGAGTAAAAAAAACCTTTCCTCCAAAACATCCATTAAAATGTTTGTTGTTGTTGTTGTTGTTGTTCATACTACTAGTGTTTACTTTAATGTCTTTATAACAAAATAAGTATTTAGTAATTAAATACTACGACTCGTCCATTCCAATATTCATAGGAACATTTTATGTCATTTTGGATTTATTTATAGATCTATCTATTGACTAACAGTTATCATTTTTTTATTTTCTTGGTTATCTTTTAGCTTTTTTCTAAATGTTTTAATTTAAAATGCTTTTAGGGTTTATTTCAGCAATCCTTCAGCTAACGTTTAGCTATGGTATTTCTATAATTATAACAATACATTTTAGGTTCATTTTAAGTTATTCTGCTTTATGTTGGGCTAATTTAATTTAATTGTTTTAAATGTTTCATTATTTTTAGGCTAACTGTTAGCATCTTATCTTCCTAGAGGACAATTTATAAACAAATCTAGTTCTAAACCCAAAATCAGCTTTTCAAATATTGAAAGTTGTGTTAGCACAATACTGGTTTCACACAGTTTCACACACGCAAATGAATCAGCTGAGGATGCTGAAGTGAACTCACACATTGACTTAAAACAGTAGCAACTGTTTTGTTAAAGGTCAACACACAAGCAACTATTCATTTACAAAATACAAAATCTAATACCAATTTCTTCGTCATCCATAACGCGTGCTGTTCCCAAACTGCTTTTAACCTAAACCTTGTGTGCCAACACAAGACAAGGACATGGAGTTTCAGACAATCCATCGCTGCAGAAAAACAACCACAACTTGACCCCTCTTGACCTTTGGTGATGTCATTGCGAAAGACATCCCATGTGACCAAAGAGGAAAAGGCACAGTGACTGCACTTCAGAGAGGGTTGGGGTAGGACTGGAGAGCCGGATATAGAGAGAGGTTAACACAGGAGTGTTGTGTGTGGAAAGCGAGCAGAAGAAAGTCTAATACGGGCGCTCTCTCTCTCTCTCTCTCTCTCTCTCTCTGTGTGTGTGTCTCTCTATAACAAACTGGGACCACACTTAGGCTCAGGTTACATTAGTCCATTAGTGTTGTCTCTGCAGATGTGATCACTCTTCCATGGCTGGTTTAAGAAACCCAACACTGTGTGGGTACAAGTGCCCTCAAGTGCACCACGCCCACCACCTGTTGTGGTTAAGACGGAGTCCATTCTAACAAAGAGGTGAAGTCAGAGAGTCAGAGAGTGTCTGAAAGGAGGAAGACTCACTGAAAGAGACTGTCACTGCGTCCTCACTGTGTTTGGAAGCCACAAAGACACGGGCTTCTCTCAGTTTAAGGGAAGGAAATGCCTCAGGGCCCATTGACTGTGTATATGTGTGTGTGTGTTTGTGTATCACGTTATGTTATTGGCTACTTCCTGTCGAGTGTTTTTATATAGAGAAAAAGTACGCTGGATTTTTTTGAATACAGAAAAAATTGAAGCTGAGACTCAAAGACTGAAACCTCAGAACTTTTTCAAACAGTGAAAATATCAGACGGAGTGGAAGAGATTATTTACATTTGCAGATTTAAATAACCTCCCAGAGTGGTGAACACACAATCTGATTGGCTGCTGGATGTGCTTGAGCAGAAGAATGCAGGGCATTTGATAGAAACACAAATGTCTGAGGAACACAAACACACATGTGCATGTCAGCAGCTTCCAGCACTTACCAGCACTTGTGACTGAGCACAATGTAGGGAATAAGGAAGTGAGAGTCACAGAATGATGTACGAAAGAATCCATCTGTCTCCGAAAGTCAGTGATCAGAGTAATGTCACTGGTCTTCAGGTTTGACTGTGGCTGTGCTGTACTGTACTGTACTGTACTGTACTGTTTCAGCTCCAGATGCCGCATTTGCCCGTAGGCCAGCAGAACGAGGTCCCACACATCTGCATATGTATGTCAAGTATGCAGCTCAGTTGGGCAAGACTAATTTGACAAAGACATGTTGACCTAAATCACATACAGCCGTCTGTTCGTGGGGGCAATCAGAAATTGCTATATGTTGCCAAAATAGCTATGAGTTGGTTGACAGATAACTTTAGTCCAAACATAGTTAAATAATACTGCCAAATATCATTTAAGAAATTAGAAGGAAAAAAAAGTTAGCCAACAATACAAATTAGCCTGAAGTTAAGTACAATACTAGAGAGAATTAGCTAAATGTAAGTTAAATACAGAATAATTAAAGATGGAATAATGCTTAAAGTTAGCACAAAAATAGTTTAAGTAAGAATGAAAACAAAACAACATTATGTTACATTATGTTACCTCCAATTATAAATTAAAGAGGAAATATACCACAGGGATTTTCCCAAAATACAAATGTAGCACAAAATCTAATGTCTGACTTTACTCTGCTGCCAACTAGTGGTTTTGGTTGGTTTTCTTGGTTGGTCATTTCAGTTCAGTTGTTTGCTTTAAATTGACCATCAGTTTGACTATGATTGTGAATGGTTGTTTGCCAGTGTGGATCAGTGGATTATGAGGATGTGGGCCACAGGGTGTGGACCACAGGATGTGGGCCACATAAGTTATAAGTTTGGACATGCTTCATCATGAGCTCTACTTCTTCTAACTGGGTTACAGAGGGCATTAAGAGTGTCACAGATTTAGTGACATTATCCTCCAGACTACATCAGTGCAGCAGTATAAGAGTGAGAGACCACTCAGATGGAAGACCACCCTGGTCTTACAGTCATCACTAAATGACTATGACCTACTGCTGGGACATAGAACCGTTTGATTTATTTTGAGATGTTCTGGGTATAACTACACATCTAAATTCAAACTGACTCTCGGTCCAAACAGCTGTTTGGGTGGAGGAGACTCTTTACCTTCACTGAGGTGCAGCAGAGACTTGTTGTGACAGTCCAGTCCCAGTAGTCCTGCGAACATCTTCCAGACCCTTCAGTATTGTGTGGAGCCACAAGTGAAACAGCTCAGATCCCGGTACAGAGCTGCTGGATCCCATCGACCATGTTTTTTAGCAGAAGTGGAATCAGCCGCTGGCTCTGATCTCATTTCCGTTGTTGGAAAAGTGAATCCAGTCTCTTCCTTTTTGCTTCTCCACAGTTTTGGAAGAATAACGCACAAAAATCCGGCTTTTACGCACGAATCCAATATGTATAATAACACGTTCTCTGATCAAACAACAAACACGTTCGCAAGAGAATATACCAACGTGTTACATTACATACTGTTTTGTGTTTAAGAAGCGAGTTCGAATGCGCAAAAACAGTCAGAAACGGTTCATCTTAATGTGGATTTTGGCGTTGAATTAAAGAAAATGTGGAGGAAAAAGATGGAAAATATCCGAGAGCTGTGAGCGAGGTCTGAAGCTGGAGCAGAGACACATCAGTCTGTCATCGATGATCACTTCAGCTGTGGTCCGTTAGACGCTGCGTCGTAGGAGTTGGAGCAGCGTAACGAGCTGCTTCCTTCCTACGTGTTCAGGAATTTGACTCCGGACTCCTTCGAACGTACAAATACAACCAGAGCGGGTCCGTGAACGCAGCACAACACACGTCACTAAAGACTAATAATTAATTCAGCTGTGCGAGCAGAACAAGTTAGAAATGGTACCTTTTGTCGGGAGTTACCGAGAAGTATTAACAACGCATTGAGAGATAATGGTAAAAAATGTAAACAGTTGTAATATTAAAAATCAAAATGAAAAGTTTACAAGAAAGAAGCCATTTCTCAACGAATGAAGCCCTAAGTTTCCAAAATAAAGTAATATGTTTAAAATATTAAGGTCACGGGTTAACAAAATAACAATAAATCAAACGTTTAAGGATAAAAGTATAATAATTTATGGAAAATATTACTAATAAAAATCCTAAGTATATTATGAAATAAAAAAGTTGTAGTTACCAACAGTTAACTGTGTCTCTAAACCAAAAACAATGGCGTGTATTTAAAATGTTAGGCTCGACTCTGGTGACTTTACATGGCTACACAAAGTGCACCGCGTCCATTAAATATGTAGGTCATACAAAAACCAAAAGCCTATATACTGTTTCACGTGAGACCACCTCCAACACTGCTCTATGTTAATGCGAGTGCTCTTTTGTTTATGCAGGGAGGGGAGGCATGAGAAGAGGAGAGACCCCACCGAGTCTTTTCACCCTCCTCCCAAATGCTCCATTTATTCAGCTTGGCTGAGCTGCAGACTGATGGACAAGTCTGTGTGATGAATAGCTCAGCTCAGCTTAGCAGAATGAACACTTCTAACTCAGGCTACGCCACGCAGGATAAAAGTTTTGCATAGAGTACAGCGAGTGAGACCTCCTGCCTTGTTCAAAGATGACACGCACTCGAACATAGATGAGAAATGTATGTAAAAGTATTTAAAACAGAAAATAAACCCTCAAACATAAAGGGAAAAACCCCTCTTAAACACAAACAAGGAACTTCCGGACAAGGATGATAAGCTATTTGAAACAAATACGAATTTTCCAATTATAGATAAAAAAAACTCTCAGAAACTCCTTGATACACATGAGAAACTCTCAAACAAGTGAAAAACTATTTTAAAAAAGAAACCTCTTAACACAGATAAAAACGCATTATGAGACGGAGTGATGAGAACCTCACAATGATGAGAACATACGAGAAACTCTGAGATACTGTATAAAACAGATGATGAATATTGATGGGATGTTTAAAATCTGGGCTTTATTATTATTATTATTATTATTATTATTATTATATTTGCAGTAGCGACCCCATGAGAGGGAACGGTGGGGAAAGAAGTTATATTTTTCTTAATGCGCTTTACCAGAAGTTACCACTAGATGGAAGCATTAAATCACAATAACATCTATGCTAGCTATGAGGGAAAACATCATGCACATAACCGGTTACCCACCCACACTGTTTTCATCTATTATTATCTGTAGGCTCTACAGAGGGTGTAGTAGTAGTAGTTGTTGTTTTACAGTAAAACTATCTTTTACATTTGTTCTGAGTGATTTCCCTGGCAGTTATATCACCTTTACCTAAATATAAAAAACTTCAGTTTGTGATGATGCTGACAGTTACAACAATCACCCATTGATACTGTAAACACAAGAATGGTGAAAACAATGAGGAGATAAACAGGAAATGCAGGAGAGTCATTTTCTGACAGAAATGTTCCTCAGCACGATAGAAGGCTTTAATTTGAATTGATTCGAGCTGCAGTGTTGGTATAACACAGCAGATTGGACATGTGCGTGCCAGTGGGTTTGCCAGTGAGGAGGCACGTACAATACACCAAGGTCACATGTTCTTCCTCCATACAGTGGAGTTTGCAGCGGGTGCAGGCAGCCAATAGCTCTACCTCAGGTTATCTGTGTAATAAAAAAGAGAGAGGCTGAGAGAGGAAGGGAAGAAAAACAAACACACCCTTCATCAAAGCAGCTGAGAGACAGGAGACCATGGCCTGTTGGGTGAAAAAAAAACCTTTATTCATGCACAACAAGCAAAGGCGTCAGATCTGTATCAAAGCAGAGGAATCTTTTAACTCTGGTGACACGGTTTACTTTATTAACACAACTGAACCTTAACAGGACTCCACACAATCATCCGTCTAAAATACTAAAATAATGACTGCAAAGTTATAGAGAACAATAACAGGATTAAACGACCCCTTCCTCAGGGTCGATGAGCGTGGTCCTGCTGGAGAACACGTCGGCCAGCATGTGTTTGGGGATCTCAGAACCACGGACACGCAGGGTGTAGCAGGCGTCCTCCACCTTAGCTAAGCTCTGACGCAGCGTGTGCAGCTTCTTGGAAACCTCGTAGGGGCCGGTGTTCCCGATGTAGGAGAAACCGTCGTGGATCTGACGCAGGAACTGGCTCAGCTGAAAGGGCGTGTCAATGTCACCGTTGCCCACGCTGCTGATGCACATGCGCATCAGTTCTCCCGTCAGGTCGGCCACACCCAGCAGGTAGTCTGAGGGCGTCACGTGGAAAGTCAGAACCTGGGATCCAGGGGACAGAGCATCAGCTGCTCCCTGAGATGATAACATAAAAAAAAAAAAAACTTTTCAGTAGTGAAGTGTGCACATATTCATAGGTTATTTCACTTGATGGTAGGTGATCATTTAGTCTAGTTGTTCAAGCCTCTAACACAGTGGTGGGCAAACGGTTCAGGAGCAGATAGATGGAGCATTCGTGTGAACTAAGATAAATGACATGTAAAAGTCATGCATAAAGGCTACAATGCTAAAATGTTTTTTATCATTTTCTACACCATCTATTGGGGAAATGTGGGTTTTGCAGGGAAAAGGCAGAAATATAACGATAATATAAATAAATTATATAATTACGAAAAGTTTGGTGGGCCGAATTACAAAGCTGAACGGGCTACATCTGGCCCCCAGGCCTTAGTTTGCCAATGCCTGCCCAAACATAATAAAACATAATAAACAGTTTTGACATGTCGGTTGCTTCTTCTCCTGCTCTGTGACAACAGAGTTTACTGTACACAAACTAACTGGAACTGGTGGTGAGTCTAAAATGAACTGTGATTCTGTGTCGGTAATTTGCCAAAACCAGACTTCCCTTCCTTTTAACAGAAAGTTGTCCTCACCTGCGAACAGAACACCAGTCTGGCGTTTATCTCCTCCAGGCTGATGAGGCGGCGGTGGCGGATGTAGTGCAGGAAAGACACGGCCTCCACATACTCCTGGATCCCTAATACGAGATAACACTACATCAGAACAGCTTCATCACAAACAAACATACAGCTGCTGTGGAACCTGAACATGATGCTTTTCTTCTCCACGTTTATTGTACACAAACTTATCATTTGGTGAAATCTACCATAAAACAGCATGTGTCCAGTTGACCAAAGCAGGTTGCGTGTGTGCAAACGCCACAAACATCTGCAGAGTATAGATCACAGATGCAGATAAAGATTCATAAAACCTGTTTCCTGAAGAAGTCTTTTGAATGAACAACAGTGGCCACTTTCTGAGCAGGGCTGAGATGACCCTCTATTTGTTTTCTGGCCCTGTGTCAACAACAATCAAATAATGACAGGACGGAAGGCTTTGTGTCTGAAGTCTACTTTTGGAGCAGCAAAGTGTGCACATATTCATAGGTTATTTCACTTGATGGTAGGTGATCATTTAGTCTAGTTGTTCAAGCCTCTAACACAGTGGTGGGCAAACGGTTCAGGAGCAGATAGATGGAGCATTCGTGTGAACTAAGATAAATGACATGTAAAAGTCATGCATAAAGGCTACAATGCTAAAATGTTTTTTATCATTTTCTACACCATCTATTGGGGAAATGTGGGTTTTGCAGGGAAAAGGCAGAAATATAACGATAATATAAATAAATTATATAATTACGAAAAGTTTGGTGGGCCGAATTACAAAGCTGAACGGGCTACATCTGGCCCCCAGGCCTTAGTTTGCCAATGCCTGCCCAAACATAATAAAACATAATAAACAGTTTTGACATGTCGGTTGCTTCTTCTCCTGCTCTGTGACAACAGAGTTTACTGTACACAAACTAACTGGAACTGGTGGTGAGTCTAAAATGAACTGTGATTCTGTGTCGGTAATTTGCCAAAACCAGACTTCCCTTCCTTTTAACAGAAAGTTGTCCTCACCTGCGAACAGAACACCAGTCTGGCGTTTATCTCCTCCAGGCTGATGAGGCGGCGGTGGCGGATGTAGTGCAGGAAAGACACGGCCTCCACATACTCCTGGATCCCTAATACGAGATAACACTACATCAGAACAGCTTCATCACAAACAAACATACAGCTGCTGTGGAACCTGAACATGATGCTTTTCTTCTCCACGTTTATTGTACACAAACTTATCATTTGGTGAAATCTACCATAAAACAGCATGTGTCCAGTTGACCAAAGCAGGTTGCGTGTGTGCAAACGCCACAAACATCTGCAGAGTATAGATCACAGATGCAGATAAAGATTCATAAAACCTGTTTCCTGAAGAAGTCTTTTGAATGAACAACAGTGGCCACTTTCTGAGCAGGGCTGAGATGACCCTCTATTTGTTTTCTGGCCCTGTGTCAACAACAATCAAATAATGACAGGACGGAAGGCTTTGTGTCTGAAGTCTACTTTTGGAGCAGCAATTTAACTTCAAAGAGACTCCGATCTCACTGCCGCTCACCACAGTGTGCAGCGGAGACGGAGACACCAGGAGGATCAGCGTCACCTTAACTGGAGTTTCACATCAGTTACAACCAAACATCCAGAGGCCATAACCACTGATACCAAGATCCCTAGAGATGTGAACTGTTTATTTGTTACACTATCAGTTAAAGATGTTTAACTGCAGTGACTGTAGACCTGAGTGGCTCCATGGACTGTGTGTGCTTCACACATTTAACAGAGAGAATGTAAATACACAAGAAAAAGTCAGGTAGAAATGAGTGTAGTAATAATGAGTAACACAGCAGGACGCATCATTGAGTAGTTTGGCATGTGCAAAATGGGTTAAAAAAAGGTACATATACATATCCATATACTGTATACATGTGCATGTATGTATATACTGTTTATGTATTTGATTGGCCGGGAATGAATCACAATTAATCCTTATTTGTTGAGATGAATCAACATTCCAAAATAAATACAAATGAAACTAATACAAATGATAGAAATATTAATATGGAAAAATATCAAGATATGTAAACTCAACTTTCTGCTTCGTAGAAATGGTAGATTCTAGTCAATATTGTACATTTCAGTACATATATATATATATATACATATATATATACATACATATACATGTAGTTACTTTATTTCTTGTGGATTTGTCACACAATTACCTTTACAACACAACAAACATGTGATCAAACTGTTACAACTGATTCCCAGCAGCTCCTCTTTCATTGTGACATGTGACATTAGTGTAGAGAGAATGCAAAACAATGGGTCATGTACGGGATATAAGAAATAAAACGTTCCTATTGGCTTCAAGGACAATCTGCAGATTTCAGTTCCTGAGTGTGCTGCCGGGAACTTTGGGTGTTATTTACTCTGAAGCTGCAGTTACCTTTGGTCAAGGAGACCTTGAAAAAAAACTCCTACAGATATTGTCTAAATAATGACTCAAAAACAGCTGGAGAATTAAACGGTTTTACTGGCAAAGCAGTTGGGAAATAATGGAAGTTTGATGTTGTGGGTCTGCAGATTGACAATGCAGGTTTTCTTGGGAAGGAAATCTAAAAATAACATTTTAATGAAATGCACAAAAGTCCTCAGACGATTGGGTGATTAGCTGAGCTTAATGTTTGACCAGAGATTTGTTCCACGATCTGCAAGTGAACCCTGAGAAATACATGAAAGTCGACTTGTGTTTGCACTGTCTCTGGCTAATACAGCAGGGTCAAGGTAAAAAGCTTATCAAAGCACTCTGCCGCCTTTTTATCAGTGGAAATTACGCACAAATTTAGCTTTTAGTCGTGCTAATGTAAAAAGAGAAAAATCAGACCAATTACACAAGCACGGAGACTGCTCATCAAGCCAAGATTATCTGGGAAGTCCTTGGAACGTGGCCACTCTAACTCTAATAAAGAGGATGAAATTTAAAGGAAGAAAGAAAAAAACGACAGATCTAATTGGTGGGAGGTGCCACTGGTCACGTCGAACGATGCAGTGTGAGTGACCACAATCTAAAAATGACTTCCCCAGCAGCTAGATAACAGCTAACCCCCTTTGCCAATCATGTTTTTCTTCAAAGACTGCAGACATTTTGGCTATGTGAACAGAAAACAACTTTATCAGAAGCTGTGCTGTTCACATCCAACGAAAATGGAGCAGAGGAAACTGTTATCACATGTTAAGACTTAAAATAAACAAAAGTAAAGTTCAATTATCCTGTATTCTATTAAAACATAATAATAACAATAATCACTGTACCCTTTATGGAATATTCTCCCATTTCAAATAAAGGTTTATTTCATTATACAAATTGTACAAAGTTACTTTATGATTGATGTTAGCGCAACCAAAATTGTGGGGGAAAAAATGAGTGAAAATCAAAAACTATATGGCTGTGGAACAAATAAATCCATTTGTAGCTGTAAATTCACCATGATCAATCACGATTAATACATAAGCCCTGACTACACCTCGATCCTTTAGGTTTCAGAGGTGATCTTCCAGTATCCCTCTGCTTCATTGCTTTGGCTGCTTTCATTCCAAACACAGACATAAGCTCTCACCTGGAGTGTAGGCTCTGTGAAACTGATAGATGTCCTCTCCCATGAGCTCTTCAGCTATTTGACCAATTTTATGCCTGACTCCATCCAGTTTCAAATCTGCTTCCTTTAGAATTTCCTCTGTATTTGGGACACTTTCAAATGACACAAACAAACAAAACAAAATCTTATTTAATTACTTTCAGTGCTCCAAAAATCAATAACAAAATCAAAATACTGACTGTAATGGTAAGGTGTTTCTAAACATTCAATAGAACTACAGAGAAAACAGAACGTATTTGGTGATGGTGCAGTGTTCTACATGGATACGTACCTGGTTACTCTATGCAGAAGAAAAATACTTCTCTTGCTTTCAATGGTAACATCTCGAGAGAGCTTCACAAGGCGCTCATATTTGTCATGTCTGGTGTCAAGCTCTTGCTGAAAGACTGAGGGAAATAAAAATAGGTTATAGGTAGTTATGTATATTTATGTAAATAGAAAAATCTATTTACCTTTGAAAGCAGCGAGGACAGGTGAGGATGACTTGACACTAACGTCACGACTCGTATCAGCATATTTCTTTGGACATCCTTCACCTGACAGGAAGTGAAAATGGTCGTTAATATAACAGTTTTCATTGATTTAGTTTTTGTGATATGTTCTTCAGGTTCTGCTAAACTTAATCACGGCTAAACTGACAATTAAAAAACGAGAATATGGTTGTCTTAAAAATGTAGTTTTGATACAAAGAGCTTTCTTTATACACTTTACACAAACAACAGCATCTAGCATCATTCGACATTTGTTTTTATTTACTTATGAACTTACTTTGGTTTTGTTCACACCACTTAATTATAAAATTTACTTTTTAATTTTTCGAATGTTAAGAATGGCTACATGTATTTTTTAAAATTGTGTTTTGTTTTGTCAGGACTTGCTGATGTGATTGTTATTATGGTTAAGAGTTCAATTGGAAGTGACCGATAAATCCGTTAATTAATCGATTATTCGCTTGTGATTGCCCAGTGATTGTTACCGGCTTTATCCATAAAGAAACAAAGAATGTTTTACTTTGGGATAATGTTATACTTTTTTTTTACAAATGAGTAATGTACATTTTTGAAACCCTATAATTTGTACCACTACATCTCGTAGAAAGCAGATTGTTTATCATTAATATGCAGAGGATTTACTGTTATATTCATCTCCGACAGTAGCTACCTCATAGGTAGCTTAGCTGCTGACAAAAACATAGCACATTTAGGTCTCTTAAAATGTTTAGCTAATAATGGAAATCCAACTTACCTTGTCGCTTATTCATGCTGTCAGCAGCTGAGTTTATTCTCTTGTTAGGTCGAGGTTAAGTTGTGTTGTTATGTGATGTGATGCAGAGACAGACTAAGGCTTTACGTAACGTCAGAGACCAAACTGTTAAACAAGCACGGCAGCTGTGTTCTCTCTTAATTATAACTATCCCTAAAAAATGACAAATAGTCTGTGAAAGTTTAAACAGCCCTCAGTACGATCAAACACGCATATTTACTAAGACACACTTTACATGCGAGAATCAACACGGCGCTGTTTACATACGTAGCAGGAAATTGACGCGATGCACACTGGGAAATGTAGTCGCACCGAAAAGGGGAGAACCATCCATCCATGGCATCCATAAAGATATGTGAAATTATGTTAAATAATTAATTTACCTCAGGATGAATGAAATGGCTCCGTGCTGGACCACTGTGTTTTCACATTGACAAAACCGTACTTTTTAAAAATAAAAACTAAAAGCCTACATTTTTTTAATGTCTCCTATATATGTGGGGAGAAAATTGTAAGAAACAGCAAATCAAAACATTAAAAATAAACATTCAACTCCTACCTCTGCCTACTGCGGACAAGTGTTCATTTGGGTTACAGGCTTCTGTGATGCTTTTCACCAAAAGTGAAACGTCTTCTCCTGCAAATTTCTTGTTTTGTCTCACGTGACAAAATAAAACGCTTTGAGCGTGCACTGCATTTGACAGATTGTCTTTGCCTAAGAATTATTGCATTTCTGCGTGCAGCATGCTGTGGTTGGGCAGTACATACGGTAACTGACTCAGTTTAGGGGGTGTGGCTGTGCCAGCCCATAATTTTTCTATTTGCAGTGTAAACACTGATTGACCAGTCATCTCTTGACTGGCATCCATGTCATGTGTTGCTATAAAGTATGTTTCATCTCTAACCTTTCTTGATCAGATTACCCACTTCTCTACTCTAACCCCTCCTCCAGGGACTCCAGCAGACTGTGTACGTGCCACTCGACTGGTGCCAACTCCAGCTCACTGTAGCCTCGGCACAGCTCCCTCCCAGATATCCCAAAACCGATCTCTCACTTATTAATGCGATTAGTGATCTCAGCTACCGGCACGTATTAATTCAAACAAACCCATGTTTTGTTATTTTTTCAACATGGGTTCGTTATTACAAAACAAATTACCGTTACCACATAAATCTTGATCATGATTTATTTGTGTTATTTGTGTCATTTGTGTCACTGTTATACGAATAAAGCGACTAAAAACGAACGAATTGTTTTATACCACCAGCAATAAGATGTTTATAGACATATATTCTTTTGTTTTGTAAAAGGAATTTCACATATGCGAGCCTGGAATGAGGTCAAAACACTGACTTTGACGTTGACTGCTGCTGCATTCACGTACTCCCATTAAGCTCGGTGTTTCAAACATCGTCAATTTTTGTTTTTCGATTACTGTATGTCTTAATTGTGATTTAAAACGTAATCCCAATTGACAATGCATGGCAGTACTTCCATAAGTCAAGTCTTATTTTATAACTGTTATTTCATAACAGAAACTTAAAAAAATGAATAGGATGTGCATGATTGAAATATATATATATATATATATATATATATATATATATATATAAGAATTATACTATAATATTGTTTAAATTAAGACAACTAGAAATTGTGAGCTCAGAATTGATTGTGAATAAAGCGATTGAAGCGCTGGCTCTAATAATTCATTTATTTCAAAAATCCTCTTCTTTAAACTCTTTAGGAAAGAACGCATTTTAGATATTTTAAATAGAATTTTTTAGATTACAGTCAGAATTATGTTTTGATGCGAGACAACGCTATTGATTTTGTAACATCAGAAAAGTGAGGGGATAGTTCTGATGTGTGGATTAAAAACAGCATTTTGGAAAATAAAATTCTCTTAAATCTTTTCTAAATCTAGAATTCTAAATTTAGGATTGACACTATGTTGACGTTGTAAAAACTCTGGGATTTCCATAAGATATGATATGAAATTCGCTATTTTCCTGTACATTTATTGCCCGACCATCTTGGAAACGATCTTTCTTAAACTAGTAGGCATGACAACGACGTACACATGTTTCTGACCGTACACGATTTGTGTCTTGTTTCCTGAACGCAACAGCTGAAGGTGGTGGTGCTTGCGTAATGATGTCAGAATGGGCCGGGCCTGGGATAGGCTGAGCCCAGAGTGAGCGGCGCCATGCACAGCCCTCCACACTAACCGCTAAGCAGCACCAATGTCTCTCCGACTCTTCTGTAATGTGTGCTCCGAGGTTTATGTTGTCGTGTTATTTCACTGACACAGGATGTAAGAAGGGAACATCTGTAATAAAATGGCGGCGGTTTAAGTCTAACTTTCGCGTGTGGCACGGCGAAGGGTGGCAGAGGCAGTTGGCCGTTTCTAAAGTTGTCGGTAAAACAGGGCGTTAAAGGCGCAGTACACTCGTTTTGTGTGACCGCAAGCATGGAGAAGCAGCAACAGCAGGAGCAGAGCAACTTGGACCGAGACAGACAGTACTGTGAACTTTGTGGGAAGATGGAGAACCTCCTTAAATGTGGCAGGTGTCGGAGCTCCTTTTACTGCAGCAAGGAGCACCAGAAACAACATTGGAAGAAGCACAAGCTCAGTTGTAAGGAGGCGGACCAGGCACAATCTGCCGTGCAGAGAGTGGAGCAGCAGCCGCCGACGACACAACCACAGCAGCTACAGCCTGGGGACAAGGCATCGGGGAAAGCCGGTGTTAAGAAAACACATCCAGCGCAGGCGGATTCACCACAAACCACTCAGACAGAAGCGTCCGGTGATGACGGTTCAAACAATAACAACGCCACGCCAAACGGACAGACCAGCTCTTCTCCTCAGAAACTTGCCACGGACTACATCGTCCCCTGCATGAACAAGCACGGCATCTGTGTGGTGGACAACTTTTTAGGAGCAGAAACCGGACAGGCCATTTTGGACAATGTCAAATCTTTGTATAAAACAGGCAGGTTCACGGACGGACAGTTAGTTAGCCAAAAAAGCGACTCCACTAAAGACATCCGTGGAGACAAAATCACGTGGATAGAAGGCAGGGAAGCCGGCTGTGAGAAGATTCGCTTCCTCATGGGTCGCATGGACGACCTGATCAGACATTGTAACGGCAAACTGGGAAACTACACAATAAATGGAAGGACGAAAGTAAGTATTTCAGCAGTTGGGAAGCGTTATTTATAACGACTGTCCTTATAAATAACGGTTGGTTTTGCTCGTATCTTATGAACAGGGTTCTGCCAAATGACACCTGCCAAACGTCAGATTCACGTTGTTCAAATGTAGTCTACAGGATTTATCCCAAAACTCCGTTTTTTCTCTCTTTATTATAAATATTCACTAGTGGGCAAATACGTAGCTGTAATGCAATCAAAATGAAACATGTCATTTTAACCTCAAAGTTGTACAATGTAAAATAATAATAATAATAATAATAATAATAATTTCCCGCGTGAGGAATCATTCAAGTTCAACCGTAGTTCAATTTAAAAAGGTCCATTCAGAATTTATTGAAAAGAGAATGCACATATCCTGTTCTGGGAATTTTGTCTTTGCCACCCTAAAGTCTGATCCATACTGAATAAATAAAATATAAAAAAAAAACTAAATCAATGTAATGATGTAATAAAGGCATTGTATTGGTTCTACAAAACAATATAAAGCTTACCAATGCATGTGGTCTTTTTACAACACTTCACTTAAGACTAATTACTACTTTTGTAAAGGTTTAGGCCCAAGTTATACTTTGGTCAGGTAAATACAAAAACTAATTTATTTGGAGAACATCAACACTATAAGGGGAGGATGAGGAAGAATACAATGTAGTGTTGTGAACATGGCATAGACATGTTGTTGCAGCATGTCTATGCCATGTTCATTTAAATCCCAAACATACACCAAAAATTCATCTTTATTTTTAGTACTGAAGTACTGCCCCATATCACACTGAAATTTAACCGTTTATAACCCTAAAGAGTTCTGCAAGCTCTTATGCTGAGAAAAAAACTTGAATCTTAAAGATAGAACGAGGGTAAGTACATATTAAAACCTCATATTTCAGGTTGTCAAGAAACTAGAGCACTTTGACTTTTATTAAAGTGTTTTTACACAATAGATGTCTTTAGTTCTTCAAAAATCTGCTGTCCTACAGCACGTGGTCATTTCTGACAGTTTCTTAATAACAACGTGGCAGTCGAACAGTCGTTCGGCCTGTGTCATCCAACAACAACAGCAACATCTAACTATCAAGTTACACGTGACCTCAGACTCCTCTTTTACCCACATCCAGTCAACATGACCTTGTGACATTAGACTGACACAGGAACAGTGGTGTTGGACTCAGCCTCAGTCCTTTTCCTCCTCTTCTTTGTACAAGGGAAATGCTTTGACACAGGCGTCACTGCTAGAATGAATTGACATTTGTCTGAGTTCCCACTACACTGGATTTGTGTTGAGTATGTCTCATTACAGAGTCAGTGTTAACATCATTTGACTTTTTGTTTTGGAAAGAGCGTCTCATGTACATTAAATTTATATCAGACACTTTCATCCAGTGTGATTTGCAAGAGGAGAATTAACAATCAAACTACATAGAGAAACTCTTGATGGGAGACTGCTAGTTGCGGCGCTTCCTAACTAGGTTTAGAGTGCATATAAATTTACTGTTTATATTTTTTGTCAGGCCTAGCAGTCTCTTTAGTCGCTTTGAATTGTTCACTGCGACAACTGTGATGTTTGTAAATCACAGTTGTTGTCAGCGTGGAGCATTCACAGGTTTGACCATTGCTTGCTGCAGGTACTTGGGCTTTTGACCTGGCACAGAGATGTGGACACTTCATACTGCTGTCTTTTACCAAAATTCTGTTATTTCAATTTCCTTCTTACTGGTTGTTTGTAGAAACAGCATAACGCTTGTGCTGTTGATCCTCACAGCTGGCCACGGACTCAAAGAACTTGATTTCCTCCCCTACTGCCCTAGTTGCCTTGGCAAACACGGCTGGACTGTGACCAGTGCACGTCAGCATGACTTGCACATTATGGAATCCTGCCAGTATCGTTGGCCAACGGGATACAACAGAATACACACTGAGGAGTATAGAGTAAGACAATTTAGCTCAAAAAGTTATTTAATGTCATTGTTTCCATTTCCCCTCATCCTGTGAATATGGTGTGAGAAGTGGCAGCAGCAGGATGTGTTTGTTTCCCTGCAGCTCCTGCGTGACTTATTCTCTCTGGTGATGGCGTAAAGACAAAAATTTTTGCCAAATGCTTGATGCGGACTTCCTTGTGCCATCTATATGATGGCATTTACACCATGTTACACTGTGGATCATTTAGCCAAGACTGTATTTCACCGGTGGGTGTGAAGTGTTAGCGATGTGATAGGTATGCGATACAGGAAACATAATAGTGTGTCAGGGGAGTCATTTGTGGTTGGTGCTATATGCTGCCTTGTTTGATCTTATGTCTGGCTGCAGTGATGAGTAACTAATCAATTAGTGCTTAATCCACAGCTCAGTTTGTAAACAAGATAAATCATGCAATTAAGTTCACTGATTTCTACAGTTTTCAGAACCCTCCTGCAGAGATAACTTAGGTGATAAACTAATGGGCCGTAAGAACTTTAAGGAACTTTATTTATATTTATATTATTTATTATATATATTATGGAGTAACGGTGATCACACAGCTGTTTGAGGTAGATCAGGGGTCTCAAACTTCCGGCCCAGGGGCCACTTCTAGCCCCTGAGCCCCTCCATATCTGGCATGCGACTAGAAGCAATTTGTTTTGTTTTTTTGGCAAAATTATTTAGGTCAACAAATGTTTTATTTGGTCATTTCAGAATGAAAAATACATTAATTTCATTAAAATATCAGGGTTTTTTTTGCATTGAACATTGATCTCTGATGTGGCCCTCCAATATAATGAGGGTGGCAGCAGTGGCCCTCAGTTAGACCCCTGATGCAGATAGTGGAAAGCCGAATGTAAGTTCACAAGTGCTGCTACTGCTACTTGTGCAGCTGTCACTCAAATTGTACTGCTAAGAAGAAATTACAGTATAGATAATAATAATAATTCATGAATAATTGTCATAATACCATCATGTTATTGTCTTTAAGACACCAAACATGTCAGAAGACAATGTTAATAACAAAGTAGATATCTATTGATGTCATAAATCTGTTAAACGTGATGTTCATTTTTATTCTTCCCTTTGTTTTGCAGACTTTAATAACTAAAACTCAATTTTTCTACTTTGATTCTAAAATCTGAATGCAACCATAATGTTTTATGGTTAATTTACTACTTTTTGAGAATATTGTTGTTATAATAATATAATAATGTCTGCTCAGTTATTTCATTTCAAGTATTAATTAATTTGCTAAATTATTCAAATTTAGCAAGCACAATAGCTCAGCACAATAATAATTATATTTTTTTGATCTAATTAGTGATATATAATCGTTAGAAAAACAAATTAATTTAATAAAAACTAGAACATTCCTGGATGTAACAGAGAGATGAACTGGGTGTCCACACATCTCTATAGCTACATCCATGTTGTCTCTCAGCTCTCTATTTGACTATCTATTGTCTTTTCTTCTCAGCTTCTCGTTTTCAATGAGAACTGCTGACAGACACTAAGACGCTTTTTGTTTTAAAAGAAACCTGGACAGTATCCACAAACTCAACCCTTCAATCCCCAGTCCTGCCTGTCTGTGCTGCTGTGGACACTTGCCAGCAGAGTTTTAAAATTGCAGGATGTATAGTAATTTGTTGCGTCATTTTAATCCCACCTCGCAAGTGCATATGCGTGCTTTCATGACCGTTGACCTAAATCTTAAAGCTGAATCGAGTAAGCAGGCTAATAGGAAGTCATGTGACAGTAGTCCTCTTCGCACTAGTGCCGACTGTGCATTACACTATAGGTTGCAGGAGCAGCTGATTCAATCCCCCTACTGGACAAGCATGCACTGTACAATCCTACGCCACGTTTTCCCTGCCTATTGTGTTGCCATCATACGGCGAACTAGAGAGGGGCCGTAGTCTAGTGGCAGCAGATGTTTTTATGAGTGGCAGAACCCACGGGAGAAATGAAGGCAGGAAATTTAACATGACACTTTGCATTAGGGCCTTATGAATTGTGGCGTATGGGCAAAGCCTTTTTTTCTAAACTCTATTCTTTGTTTATTTCCTTGTGTTTGTCAATTGAAAGACATTTTTTCTTACAACGCAGATGCAGGCGGCAGATTAGCACGAAGGCAACACAAACACACACGGAGGATTGTAAAGCGTTTGCCTGTGACACAACACAAAGAGTGATCATGGTGGTAGCAGATTTCTACCTCTGTAAGCTACTGGGGTGGCTTTGGATCAGCAGTGCGAGCAGGGCGACTTCTAAATGTAAGGTCAACGTTTGATCTGTTGTTTTTCCAGTCTGTGTGCCTTTGTGCACATTGAGCCCCACGTGGCCGCGTGTAAGATTGGTGTGGACAGAACATGAATGGGACCGAGAGCAGGCAGTGTGTTCCAATGAATTTAAATAGATGTACTGAATTAATGCATGTGAATAGGTCAAGGGCAAGAGCTGTGTTCATTAAGCCTGAGAGCCCTCCTGTCTTTATACACCATTAACATTTGCAGAGCCTTAATATGTATAATATATATATATATATTCTGTATAATACAAGATTAATATTCCACTTCAATATTCCATCCCATTCCTTAGCTTTCCAGCAGTTGCATGAAGTTTAATTTACATTGACTAGGTGCTTACGTGACACATTCAGTGGAATTTGGAGCAAATCCAAGTTTGAGCTTATCTGTCAGTTTACAATGCAGTGACTGTGTCTAAGAGCACCTGACTGCGTTCTAAGTGGAGAAAGAGGTTCTTCTTCTTTGTGTTGTCTCTCGGCAGCTGTTAAAAGAAAAGAAAAGAAAAGAATTGTTTTTGTTTGTTTGTTTTCTTGGCAGAGGACTGGATTAAACAAATTGTCCTCATTAAACCCTTTAGCAAATACAACAATTAGGACATTAAATGCAACGCTTCAATGCTAGTTGGACTTGAAACTCGACTGGAGCTGTAACAATCATTAATGATTTTGATAATTCTTTAATTGTTTGGATTTTACCTTCCCTTCTTGTAAAATCGCATTCATCTCATGGATGTCATTTGTCCAAATGTCAGTTTTTAAACTGAATAATTTAAAATAAATTAAAAATAACATTTAAACAAATGGGACCACACCAAATGGAATCTTATATACAAAAGACAACATTTTTGCTGTGTGATTTCAACTCAATATTTGCCCATAACCAATATATTTTTAGACTGCTCTGTTATTAAATACAGGCTGAATCGCTCAGAGTATTTTTATCCAGGGCAACTCTCTGCTGTTTGAGGTATAAAAGCCAGAAACACGTCTTATTATACGGCCAAATGCACAATGGTTAATTTAGTGTGTTCAACTATAACTCAACAGCTGAAATACCTGTCATTGGATATGGGATTTATTCCAGGTTTAACACATTAAACCAGATCAAAACATCAGTTTGAGTCCTAGCAGGTTTTTTGACTGGTGGACTGGAGCCTTGAGAAGTTGTGAATTATCTAAAAGAGATTTGAGGACAGTTTTTGTTCATGAACTGCTATGTTTCAACTCTAGAAGGGTTGTGTTTTTATCTGAGATATTGGTGTTTTCATTCCTTTATTTATCCATTTAGTCCTGAACTCTACAGAGTGGGTGATTTTTACACAGAGCACACCAGTGATTGTGTAATTATGACACACTGTTTTTGTGATTTTCCTGCTGCTGTAAAGAACAGTTAGTTCTGCTGCTATATATATATATATATGTCCTTATGTTGTTGAAGAAGAAATAGTATGGTTGGTTATTCCTGTAAACAGGATTTTCCTCTGGAGGCAGCAGACAGTGAGCTCTACTGGGCTGGGGCCCCAAATTCCCATAATTCCCTTTGCTACAAGGTCCCCAGATGTGTCATCTGTAAAGTAATTAGACCACTTGAAGATTTTTGTTACCTGAATTTTTGTTGTACAAACAAGTCAACTGAAAGTATTACTGTGTGTATTATGTGTAATTTCATCTTTCAATTATATATAACATCTGTTTGTACCATTTTCCTATTGTTATTTTTCAAACCCTTATTATGAAGGGATTTTCATAAGCACTTTTTGGCTTTGAACAAACTTAATTTATAGGTTTGAATTAGGGACGCTCAACTTTTTTATGTCCAATACCGATACTGTAACTGGGAGGATGTGCAGATACCAATATCCATCTGTTACCTTCTTTTCTCCTGCAGCATGAGGTGGTCTGCTGTTGCTAGAGCAATAGTGTCCCTGTTTGTTGCACAAAATTCAGTTAAGCATTTGGGCTCTGGTATCAGACGGGCTATACTTGTTGTTGTTTTTCGGCCAGGGCCGAGGTGTCTGAATGACCTTCTCTTATTTACACATGGTCTGTAAATACTGATCATCCGCTGACAGTACAGCTCAGGAATGTAAACAGACAACACAGTGAGAGAGGTCACCCTTCTAATGAAGGCCACTTAGGCAGAGAGATAATTGGCTGTAGAAAGTAGGGGTCAGAGGTGAAGAGGGCAACGAATAAAATCCTCCATTCACCACAGTAAAGTTGTTATTATGAAGATGGGTAAAATAGAAACTGGCATTTCTACTACTACTGATATTGTAGTTTCTAGTGAATGTTCTTACTTGTATATGCTATTTTTGGTAAAATAGTTTTTCCTGAAGTACCATCCTTTATTAGGAAATGATATAAATAATCTGTCATCAGCTTGTCAAATGTCAGATCCTAACCTCCAGCTGGTGCAGCTCTACCTGGATTATACAGAGGGGCATAACTGACCTTTACTGCAGTAGATGGCCGGCCTTATAGAGTTTCTACAGCTGTCCAGTTAAATGAAGTGAAAGTCAAAAGTGCTGTGTCAGTTTTTTTTTTGTCCATGCCAGTGTTCTCATACCTTCTGTGATCAGCCCCTCCCCCCCCCACACACACACACTCAGACACACTCACTTTTTCTAGCAGCCACTGTTTACTCATCTCTAGTTCTGCAGCATGAGCTGAGCAGTAACGGGTGGGAGGGGTGTCATAGCCGAGGATCAGCCAGCCTCCCTCACGCTCTGCACGTAGCACAACCATTAAAATACTGCTCTCTCTGGAGAGAGGCCATGAGTCAAAGTTTACAGCAGTTCACTCATCTCTTCTGCTGGAGCCCCACCCATGTGTTTTCCCCTTCCTATGCCACCCGTATATTCTCTACTCTTTCCTCTTATACACGCACATGCACAGAAGCTTCGTTTTGCAGCACACTGTACCAAACCTACCAAATCCTCAGTCAGTTTGAATCGGTTTATCCACAACGAATTCCAGCTGTTGGTCCTTCTTAGCCCCGCCTTTTATGGGTTTTTCCATTTATTTATTTTTTTTATCGATAAAGTACTTTGTTGATTCATGCTGCTGACGCAAACATCCCACACCCCTCATCTTTATGTCGGGGTTTTGTTTGTGTTTGTGTTTGTTTTGTTTTTTTTACTTTGAAAGCCCCGATATGGTGCGTTCCAGCGGTAGCCTGCATCACTCAAAAGATGTCAGCACAATGCAGATTGATGCAAACGCCCGTGATATAAACCAAAAAAGTGTGAATTTCTGTTAATATCATATAAGAATGGTGTTTTGTTTTGTTTTTTTTTTACGATTTATGCTTTTCCATCTGCATGAAAGAATGTGGAGGAACTTGCCTTTTGTCATCTCACTGCTTAGACGCGATGCATGAGGGCATAATCTGCCCTCTGTTTGTGCATGTCCTCCACTCACTCCAGCCCTTCTTTCAAGTAAGACGACACACACGTTTGGTGTCACACAGGAACTACGCTGTTGCAGTTTGTTGCACCACCTGCAGACTGATAGTGAAACTGAAGTTAGTGTTAAACTCACACAGATATAATGTTTGGGTTTTTTCCATTTTCTAGAGTTCTTCTTACAATGAAAGTTTCTTAATTAAAGAAGAGACAATTGTTTCTTCTAACCGGTCTGGTAGTAAACGAGTCCCTCTGTGTGTGTGTGTGTGTGTGTGTGTGTGTGTGTGGTGTGTGTGTCATATTCCCCAGGGAATTTGTGTGTTGCATGAGCACGTTTGTGCACTGTTTACAACATGAAGTTTACAAGAGCTCATAGGGGTTCACTGCCAACACCCAAACAGATCACGCGAGTCTTAATAGGGCAGGAAAAGGCCAAGGAAGTTGATTCGCAGTACAATATCTCTCCCTCACTAGTTTCAAGTTTATAATGAGACAGCCGCATAGTAAGCAGCCAGTGTGTGTGGTTGTTGAAAAGTGAGGTAAGGACAATATGTGGGCCCATGCCAGGCCTGCAGACCTGCCAGCAACATTACAAAGAGTTTCCTACGAATTTCTATTTTATAACAACCTTGACTCCGTCGTGTGTTCAGACTCGTGGAAAGCCTTGGATGAATATTTAGAATAAGTTGTGTATTTCTCTGCTTCTGTCACTTCTGTCATATCTGTTTTGTACTAATCACACTTTTTCATCTTCCTGTCTCTAGGCAATGGTGGCTTGTTATCCTGGAAATGGAACAGGATACGTGCGCCATGTGGATAATCCTAATGGCGATGGGCGCTGTGTCACATGCATCTATTACCTTAATAAAGACTGGAATGCCAAGGTATGTGACTGATGTTGTGGGAGTTATATCTGTGCGTGAAAGTTGGAATTTATTTACGTCTGTTTTTTTATTTTTTTTATTTTTTATCACAAACACCAACCTTTTTTTCAGGGATTACATTTTACGCAATTTGCAAGGCCACTATTTTTCTGGATTTGTACTAGGGCATGTCTCATTACAGCTTATTCTTTTCCTAACTCTACACCCACGAAGAGCTAGGTCTGCAACTTATGTGTTAATACGTGCTTTCAACTTCTCTATTTCTAATCCCCAATAATGACATAGATCCTGCTATTCCAGCCACACCCAGTCAGACAGAAGAGCTCACTACTGCTGTCTTTCTCACACAGAAAATGAACAACGTTGTTTGTTTTAAAGACTTTATTGAAGAATTTATTGAAAGTTGTTATTGAAGCTTCAATGAAGCTTCGAGTAACTCAGAAACAGGGAGTATGTTGATGCAATTGTCAAGGTCTTACAGGAACTTAAGAAAAGATAATGAGTAGCATCTAGCATCTAGCGTCAGTGAGTAGCATCACTGACAAACATACACATAAGGTCAGGCTGGTCGGTTCAGTGTTATTCCACTGACTACGTGAGTTTCAGTATAAGTCAAATGGTGGATAAAAGCACAGAATATAAGTTTGCCATAACACGTTACATGTTATATTTTATAGAAAAGTAGAAATACATAGAATACATTTTGAAGTAATGTAAATGTCAAGAACCACTGTAACACTTGATTTGTGCCTGCCTTTTGATTGAACCCATCACAAACATGGTGCTACTTCCCTCATCTGTTCTGTTTGTGTTCGTCCAAGTTCTTTCCCGCTGCAGTAGCTATTGTTGCCAAGACACTGATTTTTGTTTTTTACAGTAAATGTGCCATTAATGACACTGTGACCTGTTTGCAGTAAATATCATCTGTGAGGTTATGTAGCCACAATGTTAGCCAGAAGATGCTGGTCAGTGTTGCAGCAGATAAGTGGTCTGTACTGACAATCAGCGTGTGGAATACCAAATGTCAGCGGTATAATTGAATGGTTTCATTTCCACATGACAGTATGTGAAAGAGCAAAACAACCATTTTTTAGTGCCAGCCAATCAAATAATTAATAACTTTTCAGATGCTATCCAGGACCCGGCACCTTGAGATAAAGTCATTATCCCATTTAGAGTAAAACTGCTGATAAAGCATGATAGGAGGCAGTGCATTTGAGTGCACATATTTCCAGATGTCTTCACTGGGCATTTTTGTCTTATTTATCCCACAATGCAGTGGTTGCGATGCAGGCACAGTTCCTCTTGCCAAACAAATGTGCTGATACACACACACAAGTGACTGATCTTTCCAGTCATTTCTGCTGTTTGCCTCACCACAGTGACTGTGGCAACAACACTAACTGGTGTAAACCTGACTAATAGCCAGGAAGGAACAACTTTGTACCACAAGGATTAGCTTCTTCATGACTGCAGAATATCCCTGTGCAGGGAGGTCTGGTACTAGATCTGTCGACCAGAGAGTGGGAGGGAAAATGTTAGCGGAGGAGAGGGTGACATAAGTGAGCTGATCTACGTCCTCAAACTGAGCCACACATGTGGGCAGTGTGATAGATGTTCATTTAACACAACTGTACAAGTTTGCATTTAAAAGAATAAATAATAACTGTACCACAGAGATGACATGCAGACAAATGCTGCTTAATAATTAATAATATATGTTTTAATTTGTTAAGTATTGAACATAAGACACAAAACTGCTTTTCTGATGCTGTTAAAGTTCGGTAATTGAAAGAATAGTTAGCAGCTTACAGTAATGAAAAGATGAGGCAATGTAATTACTGTTAGCCAAAAAATACCAAAATGAACATAACAGTTTGTCAATAAACTAGGGGAAAAGATCAAGTATTAGGGCCAGATGCTTCTTGCTAAGCTTAGCAATAACAGTACAACAAAGTACAATTTATCCCAGAACATCTAGTTATAAATGAAAGATAGTAGAAGCTAAAAATTAGGAAGGGAGTCCTCCATGAAAGGTCATTAATAACAGGTAACTGTGGGGGGGGGGCTGAAAGAGAGAAAGAAACGGCTGGTTCTTTGCTCTTAGAATAAACAACTTAGCATTACCACCTTTTTCATCATTATTAATTCTGGCTACTGTAGTAGCTAGAATGAAGTTTTCATGGAAACAGATTTGTCCTTGACCTTGCTGACGTACCTCGTACTGTACATATGTATTGATGTCTCTCATGACATCATCCAGGATCAAAACTAACCAATCAGATCATTTAATTGTGGTTTGCAGTGACCTCACATTTTGGTCTAGTCCATGTTCTTATTGATCCAGTCAGTTCTGTCTGGTTTAAAGCCACCCACAGACCAGCAGTCAGTGACGACTGTAGTCCACACATTGTGGTCTGCTCGCTGAATTTCACCATCGACCCTCACGCTGACAGTAAACCTG